GGGTGGGAGCAAAAATAAGAGCGCCGCCTACCGCCTCCCCTCCCTGGGGCACACCAGCGGCGCCGGGCTGGGCGGGTTGCCTACGCGCAGCGCTCAGGCGAAAATCGAATTCCTTCCGCTCAACGCTGCCAGACGCCAACAGGATTTCGCGGCGAATAGGCGGCGGTGGCGGCGAGAACGGAAAATGCGAAGGAAATGCGCGAGTAGTTTAGTTGGCTAAATCTCAGCAGAAAATCTTACTAAAATGCTCGTAAATACGTGGCACAAAATTAAATGAAACCTTGAAAGTACATTATAATCCTCATACAACAATTTAAAAATCCTATAAATATTGCTTTATACTTTTCAATACTTATTATTCACGTCTAAATGAAATGATATTTACAGATTCTGGGACCATATAATCACTATTTACTTTGACCATAGAAATATATTAGTTTCTATAAATGGAATTGAAAGTTTAATATTTACCTGTTTATCTGTAGTTGAAGTGGTTGATCTGAACTATAGCAAAAAATCTTTATGTTCACCTTAACTTTAAATGTAATGGATTTCTTGTAATTATCATCTTTGATTATTTTCTGAAGGGATACGTTTCAGACGATTACTAGGAATTACAATTTTTTACCGTCACTAATATTTGTATTTAAAAACACATCATTTTATAATTTAAAAAAATCATGCAGTAATCTTTCAACTAATTATAGTTAAAATGACGGGAAGGGATTCTGGAACTCAAGAAAACGTGCGCAGATAATCTTCCCCCCCCTAAATCACATACAGTTTTTATGTTTTTTTGACTGAATAAATCTAAATCTAAATCTAAAATCTTTGTCGTTAAGCAGACGATTGTTCTTCGGTGGCTCACACACATTCGACACTAGCTACGTCGAATTCAGGCGCTGTCTTGAGAAACATTCTGGCAGCCGGCTGCTCCGACCAGTAGTCTTTCCTGGTTTCTTCGATAAACGCCAGCGAATGTTGGAATAGTACGCTAACAAACGGGCCAAGAAGCATGCATTATCTTTTCTTCCTCTTCCTTGTCCAATCCTTCCCCCTACTCAGTGACACTTATATGCTCTACCACACATACCTGGAGTGCAGTCAGGACATAATTTCTCCATTTCCATTGCATATCAACGTCGTACAAGATTCCAACAACGAACGGAACACCAACAGCTTAACCGTCGAAACTACCTGTTGTAGCGTGTTCAGACGTTTAAAGTGTTTCCAACTTAAAAGTGAAAAATATCCCCCCACCCCAGTTGTCCTATGTCATCATCAAAGATCGACCTCAAAGCCTGCGGGAGAGCATAATCATCCCTGACGTAAGAGTAGAAGCAAATGTAATAGATATTATTATATTTGATAAAATAGCAAAAGCGACAGAATAATTGATGCTGAGCTCACCTCAGATGACAATTTCGCCTTGCCCATCAGTAGAGTTGGGACGGCGTTGCATTGATGGAGACATTTAATATGCAATAGTACTATAGGTCCACAGCTAGCCATGAAACAGTTTGGTCAATGTCACCTTGTCGGCATATAAGCAATCCTAAGGGTGTTAATTACATGTACGAAGAGTGAGCACAAGCTCGATGCCATCCTCAGAGACGCACACTGAATT